AAGTGAGATGTGTATGCTTTGAGTCAAGTTGAGCAATCCAGGCCTGTTACCCAGGCTACTCGGAAGGCTGAGGCAGGCAGCTACCGGGAGCAAGAGATCAGGTTCAAAACCAGCATAAGCAAATGAGTAATATCCTGTCTGTCTATCTGTCTTATGTCGGTCTCTTTCTAGATATCTATATCTATGTATGTGTATACAGATGTGTGTATACACAAACACACACAAACATACATATATACACATTGCTGGGTATGTAGTTAGCCACTTAACTATCATGGAAAACACAGCACTCCTAGCAAAAAAATGTTGAAATTTTGGCTTCATTTTGAATCACAATACCCATGTATATCTGTGGGTGCTGTTAAACATTTTTTTTTTATCTACAGTGGCTACCTACTCCTTGAGCAATGGCTTCTCTGCAGGGGCCACAGTCAGAGGGGATTATGTTTTCTCAGGCAAGACTCTTTCAAAGCTACTAAGGAAAACTTTATCTAAGTCTATAGAAGTCAAAATTCAAGGTTTGAGGTGAAATTCTGCTTCTCAGAGAGGGTGAATAGCAAGTAGTTAACTTTCCCCCTTTGCTGGTGCCTTCCCAACACCCCAGCATCCTTCTCTCTGTCCTCAATTAAAAACCCTTGCTAGCCAGGCAGTGGTGGAACACACCTTTAAATCCTAGGACTCAGAGGCAGAGGTAGGTGGATCTCTGTGAGTTCGAGACCAGCCTAGTCTATAAGAGCCAGTTCTAGGACAGGCTCCAAAGCTACACAGAGAAACCCTGTCTCAAAAAAAAANAAAAAAAAAAAAAAAAAAAAAAAAAAAAAAAAAAAAAAAAAAAAATCAAAACAAAACAAAAAACCTTGCTATACATGGTTCCCCCTTATCACTTCCTGTCAGCTCTTTGTTGACTCAGCATCCTGCTCACAGGTTAATTTTATTTAATCAAACACTGTATCGCCTGTACTATGGGACTGTATGCGAGCCAGGAACTAGGCTGGAGATTTAAAAACATACACACACAGAGACACAGGGACAGGGGTCTTCCTTGATACAAGAATGCCAACTTTATTGTGTGCAGGGGCAGCTTATATAGGGATCATTAATTGATAGCCACACCCCAACTCTTGGGATTTCAGGCTGTAAAATCCACCAGAATTCACTTCCCTGCCATCAGGAACTCATGAGGGTCTCGTGCTCAGAGCAGCTGCAGGCACAGGAGAACAAGTTGTTTCACTCCAGCTGGCAAAGGGTCTACGGCAGGCAAAAAGAGTCAAGGGTCCAGCGGTCTGCAGCCCCCAACAAAACACATCTTTAAATTGTTAACAAAGGCAGTATGAAAAAAAATGCAACACTCTTTAAAACAAATAACTGGGATGTAATATACTACTGAAGATGCCAAATAGCACCTTTCCGTTATTGAAAAAGCCATGAGGCTTCATTAACGCCATGCACTTGTCTACATGGATAGGTGTTATGGGGCTGTCCAGCTGCTTGGGTCTGGGTAGCAACTGATGAATGTCTGGTGCACAACAGCTTTAACAAGTGTTACTAGTCACTCTCTTTTCATTATTATTCCTTTGCAGTACATGAGACAGCTGGAGAGGGCAGTCAGGACACGGCACCCTAGCTGCTCAGTTCTCTCCTGGAAATGGAGGTCTTTGCTGGCCAGATTCTCTTCGAGATACGTGGCTCAGCACTGTGGGAGGGGCAAATTTCATCACCACTATTTATTTCACAGACAGGCAAACTAAGGTCAGGAAACGTAATGGACTTGGCCAAATGCCCCAGGTAGTAAATGAGGTCCAGGCTTGAGATTAGACAGTAGGCAGGAGGCATTTTCTTTCAGGTTACTCAAACTCACACCTTTGTGAGCAGAGAGTGTACATGGAGGCCCACTGTGTTAGTCAGGGTTCTCCAGAGAAACAGAACTTATGGAATGAATCTCTCTCTCCATATTATATGTACGTACATATATATANATATACACGCGCGCGCGCGCACACACACACACACACACACACAAAGGGGATTTATTAGAATGACTTACATGCTGCAGTCAAGCTAATCTAACAATGCCTAGCTATGAGCAGAAAGTCAAAGAATCCAGTAGCTTGTTCAGGCCGTAGACTGTACGTCTCAGCTGGTCTTCATTATATGCTGGGATACCAAAGAAGGAAACTCGAATGCCAGGGAAGGAATGGATACGCGCTAGCAAGGCAAAGGCAAGCAGGCAAAGAGCAAAAGCTTCCTTCGTCTCTGTCCTTACAGAGACTTCCACAAGAAGATATGGCCCAAATTAAAGGTGAATTTTCCTACCTCAAGATCCAGATCAAAGGCATGTATGCCTTCCTACCTCAAAAATGGTCCATTCCAGAGGTGGATTTACCCACCTCAAACCAAGCAAAAAATCCCTCATAACTGTGCTCTCTGTTTCTGGAATTTCTGCTCATTTCGGATGTAGTCAGGTTGACAACCAATTCTACTATTTATCACACCACTGATGCAATAGTATTAACAACCATGATGAACAAACAGGTAAAATGTGATCGACTTTACACTTTATTTATTTATTTGGTTTTTCAAGACAGGATTTCTCTGTAGCTTTGGAGCCTGTCTTGGAACTAGCTCTTGTAGACCAAGTTGATCTCAAACTCACAAAGATGCCCCTGCCTGTGCACCACCACCGCCCCGCTGACCTTCCACTTTAACAAACACTCTGTACAAGAACCTGTGCAGCCAGGTGGTAAGTTGAGAATCTGTGGACTCCTTCAAGGGCCAGGCTGGAAGAAGTGACTCCACTGTCCTTTCAAGGGACTCACAGCACCTCAACAAATTGCTCAGCCCAATAGAGAACTATCCATTGGATATGAGTAAATGGGGATCCCCAAAAGATCCTTGAGGTGGGTCTGGCACCACAAGGTAAGATATTTCAGAGTTCCTACCCATGTCTAGACGAGGAAGCGCCATCCAAATAGTGTTATTTTCACAAGAGCAAAGAATGGTCATGGGGGGGGGGGGAGCTCCTCCTTTGTCTTCAAGCAGCTTGACTGCTCTACAATCAAACACCCAGGATGTAATCCTTGCTTTGCCACGCCCGGATGAGCTACTGAACCCCTGGGAACCTCAGTTTGTTCATCTTTAAAATGGCCGTAGAAGTAATCATTATGAGGGGTAATTGAGATAGTGCATGCAAAACACTTGGCAGAATGTTGGCCGGATTCTGCCCAGCTGTATTAAATAAGGTGATTCAGAGATAATTCTCTGAAGAATTATATCAGCATAATTAAATCGAAGTAATCAGTAGCTGACCATGAAAAGAAAAAAAAAAAAACCTTTCTCCACTAAATGGCAGAGCAAGCACCAACAACGAACTGAGGCGCGGGATACAGAACTCCCGCCGGACTCTGCTGGCTGGAACTTACCACTGTGGACACAAACTTAAGGCTTGCAATCAAGAGTCTGGGGCAGGCCACTCGCAAATGTGGCCAAGAATACTGCAGTAACTCGGAACCAAAAGCACGTATCTACACAGTGCCCCGTTCTCCCTGCAGCGAGGACGATAGAAGCAGAACCTAGTGGCAGAAGATGAGAAGACAGGCCACTGATCACCAGTTGACACAGATCCGATCCCCACCCCCCTGCATTTGGCGGCTCCCACAGCCAGTGCAGTGCGCTGACAGGTCTAGACATCTCTCCCTAGCAAGGAACTATAGAGACTCGGGACAAGTCCAGGCGTCACCTCGCATCCCTGTGCTAGTGAGCCGAGCCAAGTCCTGCGACTGCCCGCCCCACCATGAAGAGCTTGGGAAGAGGCAAGCCTGGGCAGACCCATCTCTCCTGCTGCCCCGAGCTCCCGGTGGCTCATTGCTCATTCGAGCTCCCGGCAAAGATTTAAGTTAGAAACTTTAGGATTTCTTGCAGACCGAGAGCAGCAATGAACCCTAGTTGCTCCCTTTAAGAAACGGTCGTGACTGGGTTTGAAAAAATCAGACTCCCTCCAAAACACCAACAAAGGACTATATTTAGTTCGGAGCACTCCGCCTAAATTCCTTCTTTTCCCCTCTCAGCTTCAGATCCTCAGGCCCAGGCAGTGGGTGGAAGGGGGCGGGGAGCAGTGGAGAAGGAACAGCTGGGCCTCCGCCTCTCCGCTCAATCTCTATAAATAACCAATCCCGAGCGGAGGCGACTTTCCAACCAATGAAGCTGTCCAAAGTGACAAAACCTCAGCAGCAGCCAATGAGAAAACATTTGGGGGTGTGAGACTCGCATCCTGGGGCCAATGAGTTGGGAGTCTGAGAGAGGTAATTTGAGCTGGCGTGTGGGTGTGCGGTGCGAAACCTTCCTACTTGCAGCCCCCAAACCTCGTCGGCCGACTGAGCATGCCCTGACTCTAGGTGCGGGAGCCGTCTGCCTTCCGCGAGGCTAGATCCGCTAGCCGGGTTTTCGCTTCAGCCAAAGGGGAGGTTGCATGACCCCTCGAATCCTGCCCCGAAGGCTGCGGTGCCCCCATTAATTCCCACCCTTCGCTCCAAGTCCGGACAGGGACTCGGGACTGTTCTTCGCAGGGAAAGCGAACACTAGGTCAAGTGGGGGCACGCTCTCTGTTGCCTTCCTTGGCCTGCAAATGTCATGCAAGTGTGTGACCAGGAGAAGCGTGCACCGATTGGGGTTCGGCGACTGGTGTCTATCCGCCTTTGACAGCGCAAGGCGACGAAAAGGTCACAGCCAGCAACTGCCCGATGCGCCCACGAGAGGCACTCAGCACCCCGAAAGGAGGTAGCTTCGGTCCGGAGCTTTCTACCTACAAGCACAGGCAGGATTGCCCCGTTCCAAGCTTCGCGCCGCCACGCCCAGTCCTGGTTCGCCACACCCTCTAGCCACGCCTCCTCCCGTCTCTGCGGAAAAGCCGGAGCGGAGCTCGGGCGGGGCGCCGCGGGCGGCTCACTGGGCATGCTCGGCGGGGCGGGGGAGGGCCGGGCTGCGCGCGGCGAGTAGGAAGCCCTCGCCCAGCGGAGGCTGCGGGAGAGAGAGCGAGCGAGCGATGGGCCGCGGAGCTGGGCGCACGTTCCGCGGGGACACATGCCACGCGTGTCCCAGCCGGACGCTCAATTAGCATCCGCCTCTGCAGCCAGCCGCCACCGCCTCCCGGCCCTCTCGGGCTGCCGTGGAGGGGAGCTCCAGCGGTTGCCTTGCTCCGGCTGCGCGCATTGTCCTCAGGGTCCTCTTGCCAGGGCTGCTGCGGGGCCCGGGACCCTCGTCCCACGGACGCACCCCCGCCACCGGTCGGCCCGGCGCGGGGCTCTGCTAGCCGATCGGTGAGCCCGCGCACCCGGGCCGCTCTCGCCGGGGCTTTTCCTGCGGAACGGAGGAAGAGAAGTCTACCCGCCCAGCCCAGCCTTCTCCAACGCGCAGCCCCGACGGGGCCGCGGCAGGCGCGACGAGGGCGCCGACGGAGCCATGAGAGAGTACAAAGTGGTGGTGCTGGGCTCGGGCGGTGTGGGCAAGTCCGCGCTCACTGTGCAGTTCGTGACAGGTTCCTTCATCGAGAAGTACGACCCGACCATCGAGGACTTCTACCGCAAGGAGATTGAGGTGGATTCGTCGCCGTCGGTGCTGGAGATCCTGGACACGGCGGGCACCGAGCAGTTCGCATCCATGCGGGACCTGTACATCAAGAATGGCCAGGGTTTCATCCTTGTCTACAGCTTGGTCAACCAGCAGAGCTTCCAGGACATCAAACCCATGCGGGACCAGATCATCCGCGTGAAGCGGTACGAGCGCGTACCTATGATCCTGGTGGGCAACAAGGTGGACCTGGAGGGCGAGCGCGAGGTCTCATACGGCGAGGGCAAGGCCCTGGCCGAGGAGTGGAGCTGCCCCTTCATGGAGACATCCGCCAAAAACAAAGCCTCAGTGGATGAGCTGTTCGCAGAGATCGTTCGGCAGATGAACTACGCGGCACAGCCCAACGGCGACGAGGGCTGCTGCTCGGCCTGCGTGATCCTGTGAGGCGCCGGCTGCCGCCGGGCGCTGGCCATGCTCTGTGCACAAAGCCAAACACACCCGATTCTCTTAATGTGATTGTCTTCTCGCTTTGAGATTGGAGACGACTTTGTATTGGCCGGGATGTCTGAGGAACCTGGCTGACTTGCGTGGCCAGCATCCCCAGCCTTCAGCTAGGGTCCGAGGGGGTGTCGGTTCCTGACCATCCAAGACCCTGATGGAAATGTGGCTTTTTTTTTTTTTTTTTTTTTTTTTTTTTTTTTTTTTTTTTTTTTTTTTTTTTTTTTTTTTTTTTTTTTTTTTTTTTTTTTTTTTTTTTGCAGCGTGTACGTTCCTCATTGATTTCGGTTCATGCATAATTTTTCCCGTTTCAGTAGCCATCAAGGCGCAGTATTGGCTGCTTGACACCGGCAAGCAAAAGTTTCAAGCCTGAAAAAGAAAATGGGGGTGGGGAGGTGGAGGAAGTGGAGGGGGAAGAAGGAGGCGGTGGGGGAGGGTTCCCCCAACCAACTGTTCATAGTTCCAAGTTCTAAACACAAGGAAGGAGGTCTGAGAAAAGCATATGAAGGAGCCAGAGGAGGGAAAGAAACATGATTTTTTTTCCCCCTTGTTTTCCAGGATTATTTGGAAATTAAGACCAGGGGTTCCTTTTCTGCCAGCTTGGAAGGGCAACCCAGGGACTGATTACGATTCTGAGGATGTCTATGCAAAGTTGGGTTCTTGTTACAGTGTATCCCATCTGAAGTATTGCACATGTGAACTGGGACTGTTAACACTGACGCCAATACAGTGTGGGGTGCCAGGAAGTGTCTGCTGATATTTGTGGGGGGAAAAAAATCTATTTTGATTACCTACTGTATCAAAGGGGAGTCTGGGGGAGAATGGTAGTATTTTTTTTTAATCAGCTGTGAAAAAATGTTAAAAGATCTGCACATTTTTGTGTGTGCTATTATGTGTGTGTGTGCTGTTGTGTGTGTGTGCTATTGTGTGTGTGTGTAAGTATAGCTTTTTGTGTGCGTGTGTGGTTGGCAGTGACAGATTTTTGCTGACTAGCTTTTAAAAATACAATACAAAGACTTCGTAAATGTGATTCAGGGCCCCCAGCACCCCTGTGTCTGCAGAGTGCCTTCAAACTCAGCTGTTCCAGCCGGTGCCAACCTGTGAATTCCCACCATATCCCAGAATCTGCTGTTCTGCTGCCCCCCAAACCACTTTAAGTATCTTCCTGAAAGAGCCAGGACAAATGGGGCCTGTTAGTCCATCAATTGCTTCATTAATTTTTAGCTTTCTTAATGTTAAGGTCATGTCTCAAGTGTTTTTCTCCCTTTCTTCATTTTGCTCAGATTTCAGGTTTTAGCTCCCTTTTCTGTTGCATTTGGAGTGTCTCTTTGTCATTTGTCTAAGGTTGTCCTCCAGACGCTAAGAGCAGAATTTTATTGTGATGTACCGAGAGAATTGTAACAAATTGTAACTTTTAATTCCACTCATTTGGTCATTGTCTCTTCCTTTTAAAACTTTTAATACAAATGTCATTTTTAAAGAAACCCCAAACTATTTGTGTTTTTGTGTTTTCATATTCAGTGATGTACAGTATCCATGGTAACAGTGTCAGGTGGAGGTGGACCTGGCCCGCCCAGAGTTATTTGTCGAATTTTTAAGATAGAATTATTTCAGTGACAAACTGGATGACAATGTTTCCAAGTTTTTATTTCAAAGTGGAGAAAAATTATCAGGGTCTAGACATACCATCCGACTCCCCAGAGGAGGAAGTGTATTGAGTCTGTTCTGCTGACAATGAGCCATGAACTTCACTGTTAGAGCAAAGGAGAGAAGCGGACTGCTAACACCCTCTTCGGTCTGGGAAAGTTACATCCATCCAGGCGAATAGGGGATAGCTTTTTATTTGTCCTGGTTTTGTTTTGTCTGTTTATGTCACGCCTCCATCAGAAGTGTTCTTGATTTGGTTCTCACACACAGTGTCTCAGCAGTCTTTGGAATGTGCTAGGCTGGCTGTTATCTCAGTCCTTCAAAGATTTCATTTGGAGCCAAATCATTAGGTTCAAAACAAAACAAAAAGTAATAAACCATGTAAAGAGGATTCTTTGGCTCTCTTTAGTTTGTGGATCATATTTGACCACAAGCGTTGTTTCTTTTAACAAGTAGGAGGCAAAGCGCGAGGAGGAGGCCATGTGCGTTGTTACTTTTTCTGTGTATTTTCCTTGGGCTCTCTAGTACAATAATCTTATCTGTAAGAGATGATAATGTAGGTTCCTAAGGCAAAGCTGAAGCCTGCAGAGTATTAACCGAGGAATTTACTCTTTGAGGAAGCTAAAAGAGATCACAGGTTTCTTTAAAGTGATATCAATATCTCTTGCCTTAATTTTTTTTTTTTTTTTTTTTTTTTTTTGCGGGGGAGGGAGTGATTTCATCCAGGTTGCATTTCACTATTCCTGTGGGGAGGGAGAACAGTTTGGCCTGTCTTGGCCTTTTATTTATTTTCCAACTCTGACCTCATGCCTCCATGAGTATCAAACACATTTGTTTCTACATCTAAACATTGGGACTACTCAAAATCATGTTTTTGCAAGAATGCATCCTTCCATTTGAATAATTGTGGTTGCTTAAGTCGATTGAAGTTGATGCACAGCCTGAGGATGTTCAAGCCCTGTTGGAAGGGTTGTGGGGTTTGTTTTTTTGTGTGTGTGTGTGTTTTTTTTTAAATGTGTTTGGTGGCCCTCTTTTGTCATTATTTGGAAGGCTTAAACTTTGCCAAGTATATGGCTCATAGGAAATGCGCGTACTCCTTACAGAAAATATTTGAAGGTGGATGGTGAAATAGATTGTTGGTGCACCAATCACCTCCACAGAGGGTTTTGTGGAGGTCAAAAAACAGGACAGGTTTTCGTTGTTTTTTTTTTTTTTAATAAAATAAAACCATGTTTCTACTAAGTACTGTAAAATAAATGCTTTTGGATTGTAAAATTAAAGCTGCTGCAGGAAAATGAAGGTCTGAATTGTTTGGTTTTCGCCTGTGATATTCGTGGCAAAATAGAAATTTGGAGGGCTTTTTCCTTTCTTGAAACGTTGGAGAACCTCATCTAGGGTGGTGTGGAGACAAGAACATTTGTTTCAGTGAGAAAGGGAGCTGGTTTAACAGCTTAAGGAAGTGAGTCAGGGAGGGTGGGGTTTGTTGTAATGTAATCACCTGTCAAAACAAATTGGGGGGGGGGGGAGTGCTTCCTGAGGGAGTGAGAAATCCTCTAAACTTGACCCCTACTGGGTGTGTGGGGTTTTTTTGTTTTGTTTTGTTTTGTTTTATTTGTTGGTTGAAACAGCTTTTCTTTGGGCCCCTGACAGGCGGCCCAGTTCTCTGTCACGTCAAAGCATTATTTTTGTTCATTTGTTAACTCCTCAGGAAACCTAAAGGTGCCTGCTCAAGTCTCACCCTTTGATCTTCAGGTAACTGGTTTCCATCCTAGTGGCTAAGGTAGTTCACTGACTCAACACTGAGAAACCAGGTCTATTTGAAGATAGTCTTGAGAGGCTTCCTATAGCATGAATACTGCGCCTTTCCACTGAGTGAGAATCCCAAGTGTCTTCTTTACTCAGTGTTTGGGGCGTTCTGTTATCACTGTACCTTCTGGAAAGTTCTATGGAGCAGGAGTTTGGAGAAGTAAATGGGAAATGCCTTATCTATCATAAAATAGCCTGCTCCATAAATGTGAAGAAAACCAAGACTCAATTTGGAGATGGCCACCGGGTGTTAAAATGCTAACGTCTGCCAGTACCTGCTTAATGGCAGAAAGCCTGCTAATAGGAATTTTCTCTAGGAAATGTTACAGGTCTAAAAATCAAGACTATGCTGTTCTTGATTGTGGTCTTTTGTTCAGACTACAAGAATGATCTGAAGGCCTTTAGTTGATTGATAGGTGATGGCACTTACCATAGCACTGGTAAGCGAAGCACTTGATCTCTCCACCGTAACATTTTGGTGATTTGAGACAATAGGGGTCACCTGTTCCTGAGGCTCTCAAACTAAATTGCATAGAAAAGTCACCCACAGGTTAAAACAATCTCTAAGGGGGCTTCCCATTTTCTTCGCTGGACCTGGAGTAGATGCTCATATTTCAGGTGACAATGGTGTTGCTGATTTGAGACTCAAAGATTAAAGCCCCAGCAATAACACGTGTCACACTCGGCTCTCCCTAAGTGTTCAGACACTCCGACTTAAGATCTGCATTTCAGAATGCTTTCCTTTCAGCTGTGGTGATAAAATTGTCTCCACAGAAGTTTACTGAAGAGGACGTCATACACCATTGAAAATAACCTGTTAGGCTGTTGTGAGGGGATAGAGCTTTCTTTAACTTCACATAGTTATCTGAACAATGCTGGCTGTGATCTTCAGAGCCAAATCAGAAGCCAACTCTGAGAAAGTTATTATGTCAGATTCAATACCCAATTCCTACTCCGTGAATAAAACAAGATTAATACCTTTGGCTAAGGGAGCATTTTAAAATATTTACCGCTTATTCCTTTGAAATTAAAAGGCAAGGACTTCTGTTTTTCATGTTTCCAAGCAAGGACTCTGAAAATAAGCTGAGAGAATTTCAGTAGCCAGGTCACAGTGCACACAGGTGTGTGTCTCCTCCGCGGTGTTAGTTGATCTAATTCGAAGTCATATTGTTCTCCATTTTGAGAAAATACACACTACAAAAACTGCTAAACACCTTCGTTTTGCTTTGTAGACCAGGCTGGCCTTGAACTAATAGATACCTGACTGCCTCTGAGTGCTGGGATTGAGGCCCGTGCGACCACTGCCTGGCTTATTGTGGATCTTAATGTCCAAGAATGTTTCCAAAACTCTGTTTTTAAAAATCTGTGTCTTCACTGACTTAAAAGAAGGGCAAAGTTGAAATCCAATGGCAACCAGAGAAGTTGCTTTTTGACAGATGCCTTTTAGGAGGGGGAGAGGGTAAGGTGCAGATCTTAGAAGAGTGAAGTTGGGTGAGGGCAAGAGACCTGAGTAAATGTGTTTTAGTGTGTTCTAGACTGAGGTTATTTGCTGGCTTTTGCACCTTGCCTCAATAATAATAATAACAATAATGTTTTGATGAAAATATGTTTGCCCCACCCCTTGTTGCTCTTATTGCCAATTTCTTGCACATCCTTTATTCTGGAAACTTGAAAGCTATCTGAACAGAAGCTGAGAAATGACTGAAATGTAGTAGGCTTCTGTTCTGTCTACCCGTGGTAGAGCTTCTGGGAGACTCTAGAATTCTACCTTACAGAAAATGAACGTTTATTGTAAAGTTTAATTCGTCTACCTGATAAGAGAACGTTCTGGTGTGTTTTGTTCTGAGTTTAAATGTCACTTCAAATAGTTGCAAACTTTTCTTTGTGGTAGATATCTGTAGCGGTGGTAGGGGGCTTAATAAAAACCTGCCCGTGACAGCAGAGGGAGGGAAAAGACGAAGAGATGTCGTATGTTTATATCGGGCTTCATTTTGTGGTGCTTTACATTACTGTTAATTTTGATCACTAATATTTGACTTTGTTGAACTGTTCAAAATCAGAGGTTATATTTATTTTAGAATATGTTTTTTTAGAGTATATTGTATTACCCTTTCTAAGAAAATCCAAATTGTAGTTCGTTCTAACAGGTTAATATTCATCAGAGGAAAACTTTGTTACTTTAAGGAAATCAGTGAATTTTAGGTGTAGCATGAATAACAAAAACCCAGAGATGGATATTGGGGTTCAGCCTGAAGATCAGAAGAGCAAAGCAGCCAAATCACTAGAGAGCTTTTACCTCTAAGAAATCCTCAGACGGGAAGAAAGTGAGTTCCTGTCTCATTCCACCTTACATTCCTCCCTAGTGCTGGGATTGAAGGTGTGCACCACCAACACTGGGCCTCTATGGCTGACTAGTGTGGCTGGTTTGTGTTCTGGTCTTCGAGCAAGCTTTATTTATTAAAATACACATGAAATATCACTACATAGTAGGGGGATAAATTCTAAAGCCCTAATTAGTGAAATAATTTGTCCTACAAAGCAGACACGGCTAACTAGTAGAGGAAAAACAAATAATCTTACTGCATTTGGGATCTTATTGATCTGTTCTATAAACGAGAGGGAACAGCCCTTTGCACTTTCCTCGTTCAGCTGACAAACTTAATCTTCAAAGATGAATTATCTTGTAAGATTCTGTAAGGCTAAATTTTTCAGAGGCGTGAAAACCTGGATGATTCTTTCATTTGTGATAACAGAAAAAAAAATCAAAGGCAGAAGGTTTTTTTTTTTAATAGAAAAGAGAAAAATTATTGATGACTTTGCAAATACAGGTACCAAGCAAAAAAGTGTGCGATTGTTACATTGCTAAGAATAGATTTGCAATGGCGTTGGTAAGCAGGGGTAAAATGAATTCATCCATCATGCAACGTTTACTGTGGATGCGGTGTTCACTACAGTGTCAGGACCAATGCTTGTTGGGTAGGTTCTTAATACTTAAACACAATCTCTCTTTCCCTTTTACTGCCAGCTGCATAGTAGTATCTGTCAGCTAAGAACGGTATATGGAAAAGCATCTGCCTGTGCTTCCAGGTAAAATGCTACATGCCCATGTGGGCGTGCAGATGATAAAACTGTTGAAAAGTGGACCTTCTCAGAAGAGCAAGCGGATAATATAAATATCGATAGCTTTTGCTTTATGTGATACTGTGTAATAAAGCTATTGTTTTGGGTTCGAGGGTTTTTTGGGTTTTTTTTTTCGAGACAGGGTTTCTCTGTAGTTTTGGAGCCTGTCCTGGAACTAGCTCTTGTAGACCAGGCTGGCCTCGAACTCACAAAGATCCGCCTGCCTCTGCCTCCCGAGGGCTGGTATTAAAGGCGCGCGTCACCACTGCCCGGCTTGGTTTGGTTTTTGATGTGGGTGTTACCAACTTATTTTTTGACATGATTACCTAACACTGAGTACTGGGAAATAGGATATTATTTTGCTTTGATGTGTTCATGTCAAAGCAAAGTGAGAAAATGCAAAATAAGATAAAACAAGAAAGGACAAGTTTGCTCTCTCAAAGGCAGAGTCTTCTGGAATTCCTCATGTAAAGAAGACGGAGGCCAGGGTGCTTCTCTTGAAAGAGATAGTCCCGTGAAAATGAGTGTGCATGGGATTAGCTGACATTCTGAGTCTGCTAAACTAGTGGTTATTTTATGCAGAAACTCATGTTCTCAGGGTAGCAGTGCCGACTTGAAGAAGACAATCAGCTCAGAGAAAGGGCTCTTGGGAAACCAGCGAGAGGATGTTAAGAGAAAGAATAGAACCTACTGTGACCAAATGAATGGAAGGGGGTTGTTCTTATTAGCCTCTTGTGGTTTCCAAAATGGTTTCTACTGACCACTTGTGTTAACTGTCCGAAGAACTGAACAACACACTAAATGTGAAGTCACAGAGGTAGCTGGATAGATCAAGAGAAAGAATAGGGTTATATTTTAAAATAATTAATTGGCATAGGACCATTCTTAAAATTCAAATTTACAATAGTTATATTAAAGATTCAATAAGGGATTTGGTATTTTTTATGCTTTCTCACCATTGCTAAAAAAAAGTTTTGAAAATTTAAGTCATAAGCTCTGAATCTATTAGTATTATTGTACTAGTATAGATCAGTGGTTCTCAACCTGTGGGTCGTGACACTTTGGCGGTGCGGAAGAGTCAAATGAACTTTTCACAGGGGCCACCCAAGACTATTCTGCAAAGCAGATGTTTACATTGCTATTCATAACAGGAGCAAAAGTGCAATTACAAAGGAGCAACAAAATAATTTTATGGTTGGGGGTCGCCACGTATGAGGAACTGTATTCAAGGGTCACAGTGTTAGAAGACTTGAAAAACACTGATACAGATATTGACATCTCCATTGTGTGATGATATGCATAATGTGTATATATATAATTAATTACATATTATACTTAGATATCCTCCTTAGAAGCTAAAATTTATCATATAC